CCCCATCCCTGGGGGTGTTGAAGGGCAGGTTGGATGGGGCTTGGAGCAGCCTGGGCTGCTGGGAGGTGTCCCTGCCCATGCAGGGGGGGGTCTGGATGAGTTTTATATCCCTTCCCACCCCAACTGTTCCATGATTCTATGATTCTAACCACATTGCTTTGCTCTGCTCCTATTGGGGTCACACCTCCCAGCAGGGCTGCAGAGACAGGAATGAGGACAGAAGCTCTGACTGACAAACTGTGAAGTGGAAGTGGAGCTTCCAAGCCCCTGAGGAGCTTGTGTCACACTAACAGCTGCCAGGAGGACACAGAATGCTTGCAGATTCACCACTCTGCATTTGCAGCTCTCTGGCCAAAAGGCCCTGTTGGTCTTTATCAGCTCAATATCATAGAATCATGAAGGTTGGAAGAGACCTCTGAGATCATCCAGTCCAACCATCAACCCAACACCCCCATGCCCAGTAAACCTTGTCCCAAAGTGCCAGGTTTCCATGTTTTTGGAACACCTCCAGGGATGGTGACTCCACCACTGCCCTGGGCAGCTTGTTCCAGCCCTTTCACTAAAGAGTATCCCTGTGGCCAGGTTGTCCCTGGCACGATCAGGGCAAGGTTTGCCTGAGATCTTGGGGGTTTTTGCTCTCCCAGGAGGGAAATGGAAGGTCCTCAGAACCCACCCATGCCCCTTGAGTAGTTACTGGAGAAAGGCAGCTGCAGAGGACAGTGCTGGCTCCAGGAGGAGCTCTGAACAGCAGCCCCATCACTGGGGTATTCCAAGGAAGGTGGGGTGCACTGAGCTCAGGAGGGGTTTCAAACCTGTGTAGATGTGGTGCTGAGGGACATGGTTTGAGCACTGGACTCGGGAGAGTTGGGTTAATGGTTGGAGAGTTGGGTTAATGGTTGGAGAGTTGGGTTAGTGGTTGGAGAGTTGGGTTAATGGTTGGACTCGGATCATCTTAAAGGTCTTTTCCAACCAGAAGGATTCCATGAGCCTCGATGCAGCTCACAAAAAGCATCCAGCAAAGATCTGTGCCCAGAGCACGTACCTGAAACGGCAAGCGTGCCCTGCAGGGCTGGAGCCCAGGAGACACAGAGGAACTCAGCGTGGGAACCAGGAGAGGGAACTCTGCACCTGGCCATGGCCAAGGCCTCCGAGGGCTTCCTGAGGTCTGCCAGGACGAGGTGCCCCTCACTGGAGAGCAGAGCCACGGGCTGGCAGTTGGAGGCAGAGCCCGGGGCTCCCATGCACCAGCGCCCGGCCCGCGCTGCCCAGGGGATGGATGCAGCTCCCAGGGGACTCTGGGGCTCCCGGATGTCAGCCAGGCCCAGCTGGCCTGGCACACAGCACAGCAGCAGGGTGC